AAGTTGAAGAAAAAAAATGAAAAAACGAAAAAGTATTAGTGAAAACTTTGGAAATTCTAAAAACTGGAAATCAAGAACTTGAAAAATTGAAAAAGCAAAAAAAAAATCGAAAAATTGTAAAATCGAATCAACAAAACGTGAAGTTGAAATATTGAAAATGAAAGAAATCGAAAAATCGGATATTTTGAAAAATCCAAAAATTGCAAAATTGAAAAATTTAAAAATAGGAAAAGCCAAGACTTGAAAGTGAAATACTGAAAATTTGAAAAATTATAGATACAATTGAAACAAACATTGAAAAAATAAAGGGCATTGAAAACGAAAAATTGTGATATAAAATCGAGGAACTGAAAATAAAAAATTGGGAAAATGAAAATTAAAAATTGGGAAACTGAAAATTACAAAATCGGGAAAATAAAAAATAAAAATCCAGGACTTGAAAAATTGAGGCAAGGAAAATTAAAATTTAAAAATCTGAAATATCAAAAACAAAAAATTGTAATATAGAAAATACTAAGCGAATTTAATTGGACATGTCAAGGGGAAATCGACAAATCGAAACATTGGAAAATCTAGAAATGCAAGAATTGAAAAATCGGATAATCGGAAAATCGAAATTGGAGAATTAAAATATCTAGAAACTGTAAAATCGAAAAATTCCAAAACTGTAAAATGGAAAAATCCAATCGAGAAATTGAAAAATCAAAAATTGAAGATTCAAACACCTCAAATCGTAACAAATATAAAACTGTCAAATTTAATCATATAATTGAAAAAAATTAAGAAATTGTAAAATCGGATAATTGAAAAATCACAAATCAATAAACTGAAAAAAACGCAAAATTGAAATAAGTATCTAAAAATAAAAAATCAGAATGTTGAAAAACGAAAAATTGTAAAATGGAGAAACTATAACATTAAGAATTGGAAAAATTAGAAATTTAAAAATCCTGAAATTAAAAAATGAACAACCGAAAAACTGAAAAATCAGAAATTACAAAATTGTAGAACTGAAAAATCGAAACAATAGAAGGTCGAAAAAATTAAGAATTTAAAAACTGAAAAATCAGTCAAATGAAAAATTGAACAAACTGAAAATTCGAATACACGATTGAGAAATCGAAAATTGTAAAACTAAAAGATCGAACATTAGACAATCAAAGAATTCAAGAATTGATTAATCAAAAAAACATTATCTGTCTAATAAAAATCCAGACAGACGGAGGACAGACAGACAGACGGAAACGGGAGACCTAAGTTTTCGTACTCTAGGGACCTTGAAATGTCGAGCAAACATGGAAAGTAGCCAGACTGAACAACAGCAGAAGAAGAATATAATTTTTTGTTTTCCAATTTCAATTATTTTCGATTTTTCTTTTCTTTTTGCTCCTTCAATTTTATACCTACGACACGCAATCTTTCGAGTTTTTTTTTAATTTTCAGTTTTTCAATTTTCCAACTTTTGGATGTTCCAATTTTTCATTTTTCATGTCTTCAATTTTTCGTTTCTGTTTTAGATTTTCTTACTTTTTTCAGTGTTTTGGTTTTTGACCAATCTGATTTTGAAATGTTTCTTTTTTCAATGTGATATTTTTCAATTTTTTAATTTTTTTCAATTATATGATTAAATACATATTTTTTCGATTTTTAGTGTTCCAATTTTTGGGTTTTCCAATTGTTTGCTTCTAATCGTTTTTTCTTCTTTCCAATTTTTTTTCGATTTTTAGTTTTTCAATGTTTCAATGTTTTGTTTCTTCAATACCTCGATGTGCAATTTTTCAATTTCCTACATTTTTCAGCTTTCGATTTTTCAACTTATCGAATAAAAAAATTGTAAAGTTTAAAAATCAAAAATGAAGAAACGAAAAAGTACATACCTAGTGAAAACTTTGGAAATTTTAAAAACTAAAAATCAAGAACTGAAAATTGAAAACACAAAAATTTGAAAAATAGAAAAAACGAAATATTGAAAATGAAAGAAATCGGAAAATCGGATATATTGAAAAATACAAAAACTGCAAAATTGAAAAATTTAAAAATAGAAAAAGCCAGGACTTGAAAATGAAAGACTGAAAATTTGAAAAGTGGAATAATCGAAAAATTATAGCTACAATCGAAAGAAACATTCAAAAAATAAAGGGCATTAAAAACGAAAAATAGTGATAAAAATCGAGAAACTGAAAATTAAAAAATCGGGAAAATAAAAAATAAAAATCCAGAACTTGAAAAATTGAGGCAAGGAAAAATTCAAAATTGAGAATCTGAAATATCGAAAAATCAGAAAGAAGGAAAATTGGAAAATCAAAAGATTAAAAAATTGAGGAACTTAAAAATCGAAAAATTGCAAAATCGAAATATTGTAAAATCGAAATATTAAAAATTAAAGAAATCGGAAAATCAACAATTGCAAAATTGAACAATTTTAAAATGGGAAAACTCAGCGATTGAAAAATCATAGATTGAAAATTTGACAAATTTAGTAGAAACAAGGATTGAAGTAAAAAGGTGGGAAAAGATGGAAGAGAAAATACTAAGCGAATTTAATCGAAACATTGGAAAATCTAGAAATGCAAGAATTGAAAAATCTAAAAATTAAGGAACACGAGAAAGTGAAAAATCGGATAATGAGAAAATCAAAATTGGAGAATTAAAATATCTAGAAACTTAAAAACAGAAAAATTCCAAAACTCAAAAATTGAAGATTCAAACACCTGAAATCCCAATGAATATAAATAAAACTGTCAAATTTAATCAAATAAAATTAAGAAATTGTGAAATCGGTTAATTGAAAAATCAAAAATCAATAAATTGAAAATAAAAAAAACCAGAACATTGATAAAAGAAAAATTGTAAAATGGAGAAACTAACATTAAAAATTGGAAAAATTACAAAATTAAAAATCCTGAAATTAAAAAATTAACAACCGAGAAACTAAAAAATTACAAAATTGTAGAAGTGAAAAATCGAAACAATTGAAAATCGAAAAATGTAAGAATTGAAAAATCGGAAAATGAAAATATTTTAAAATTGAAAAATCAGTCATCTGAAAAATTGAACAACTGAAAATTCGAATACACAATTGAGAAATCAAAAAATGCAAGAACTGAGTAATCAAAAAATTTAAAAACTCGAAAAATTGAAAATCGGAGAATTAAAAAATCAAATTGGAAAAATTAAAAAGACAAAAAATTAAAATTCATGTCGCTGGTAATTAAAAAATCGAAACATTATTACATTCATATACCTAAGTAATTGAAAAAAATTAAGAAATTGTGAAATCGGATAATTGAAAAATCAAAAATAAAAAAACTGAAAAAACGAAAAACTGCAAAATGTAAAAACTGTAACATTGAAAATTGGAAAATCAAAAATTCAAGAATTGATTAATGATAAAATTAAAAAACTCGGGAAATTGAAAAATCAGAATATTGAAAAGTTAAAAAATCAAAATGAAAAAATTAAAAAGTCGAAATATCGCAAGTAATTAAAAAATCGAAACATTGGTAATTCACATAATTGAAAAATTAAAAAATTGTGAAATCGGATAATTGAAAAATCCAAAATGAATAAACTAAAAAAATATTTAAAAACGAAAAACTGTAAAATGTAAAAATTCTAATCCTGAAAATTGGAAAAATTGCAAATTTAAAAATTCTGAAATCAAAAAATTAACAACCGAGAAATTGAAAAATCAGAAATTAGACTATTGTAAAACAGAACAATTGAAAAATTAAAATATTTAAAAATTGAAAAATCAGTCAACTGAAAAATTTAACAAATTGAAAATTCGAATAGATAACTGAGAAATCGAAAATTGGAAAATCAAAAGATTAAAAAATTGATTATTCAAAAAATTAAAAAAATTGAGAAACAGAAAAATCGTAATATTGAAGTCAAAATGGAAAAATTGTTAAATGGAAAATCGGAATATACAATCTACAGAAGATTCACAGCATACATATAAAAATTGACAACAATCGGTCCAGTGGTTTTGGCGATTATCTATCTAATAAAAATCTAGACAGACCGCAGACAGATAGACAGACAGACGGAAACGAGAGACCTATTTTTTCGTACTCTAGGTGCTCAGTCAACACAATATAAATAAACACGGTGAAAGCAATTACAAATTAATTAATTAAGAAAAATTTAAATATAAGAAATGAAAAATCCACAAATTGCAAAATCGTGAAAATTTCAGTTTTAATAAAGCGCAAAATTGAAATAACGAAAAATTGACAATCAAAAATCTTAGAGACCGAAAAATTACAAAATCCAAAATAAAAAATTCCAAAAGTTATAAAATTGAAAAATTAAAGATTGAAAACTAGAAAACCTAAAATCGGAAAACTTTAAAGTCGAAAAATTACAAATTAAAACTGAGAAATCGTAAAACCAAAAAACTGAATAATTTTTAAAAATTCGAAAATGGGTGCTATTAAAAAAAATTAGTATGCAGAGAGGGAAAAAAGTGAAGTTTCAGTTACATTTTTAACTCGAATTTCGTCTCAAAGAGTGGATTATCTTAGGAATATGGCAACATTTTTTTATTCCCAGGGAAGCGTTCAAATCTCTTAGGCTAATCATCTGGTCTATAGTCTGTTTACCGAACAGATGGAGTGATCACGTGCGCTTTACGAAGTGAGCGTCCAAATCTTCAGAAGTTGTAAATTTGGATTTAGATGCGTGAATAAGAGAGAGAAAATAAATTTTGCATGAGTGCACTATGTATACAAGAAGGGGCGAACCCCATTTAAAACCCAAAGGCTACAAATAAAACCCAATCCGTTGAAACTGTGTAAAATACATTTTTTAATGATGCCATTCCACCCTTTAATCTCGGCTAATTTACATATAACTCTAACCCGCCTAGAGGCCGTCACTTTTATCCCGATTTTTGCACCACAAAGGGCGCACCAGCCCTTTGACGCCGCCCCCAATTTCCCAAAATTCATTTAAATTCCGCCAAAATCCCACCTAACCGCCTTTTCTTTTTCCAGGTTTAGCGGCATGTCGCCACACTATAAACTGATTTACTTCAACGCTAGAGGGCGCGCCGAGCATATCCGTTTTATATTCGCCTATGCCGGCGTGGAATACGAGGACGAAAGGATCTCGAGAGAAAAATGGCCCGAAGTGAAAAAAAGTAAGTCCTTGTTTAATCACGTTCACACGCTTTGCAGTTGGCTACGGCCGAAAAATCAAATTTTTGCCTAACGAATTTAGTGTCTGCCATCGATTTGGCATGCGGAGAGCAAATTAAATTTGCAGGTGAAGTTTTACGTTTCATCAAACCATAAAAGAGTCGAGGAGGAATGAACGGACGGGGAATAAAAATACGGAATCGGTTAAGTATTTTGCCTGTGTGCTGGTTCGATACAATTTTCAATTTTCGGGGGATTAGGGTTAAGCGGACTGTTCAATTTTTAGTATGCGGAGATCATTTTGAGTGGGCTTTGTCACACAAATGTAATATTCAGGTTTGGAAAGTCCGATTGAAAAATAAAGTCGAAATGTAAATGTAATTGAGAAAATATGGGTTGTTAATTTGGGACGGCTAATAGATAGAGCTTCCTTTCATAATTATGGAACGAGAGAAAATTTGTGTGTACTTTGCGCAGCGTTAGCTCGGATTAAATCAACAATGGAATAAAATTTTAATATCAAACAGCGACTATTTCACATTATGCGCAATTAAATGGCCGTTTGCATTAATATCTCCCTAGTCTTGCGTTTTCTCGACATTTCATGACCACTAGAGTACGAAAAAATAGGTCCCCTTTTTTCGTCTATCTGTCTGTGCCTGTCTGTCTGAAATCTGTGCGGACAGATAATTTTCGAAACTACTGGACCGATTGTTGTGAAATTTTGTATTAGGACTAGCATGTCAATAGTGAAACGCCACCAAAAATTGGTTAATCATTCCCACCACCAAATTGATGACGTCATCTCAAAAATTTTACCGAATAAATCCTTTCTGAAATATGTAACATATTATGACATTTTTACAAGTTTGCGTTTTTTTTTATCTTCTTTAGATTTTCAATTTTTACATTTTTCAGTGTATTGGTTTCATAATTTCTCGATTTATCGTGTCTTCAATTTTTCGATTTGAAGTTTGTCAGTTTTTCATTTTTTAGATTTTTCAATTTTTCGTTTTCTAAATTTTTCAACTTCTTCATTTTTATTTTTTATTTTTTTATTTTCATTTTCTCGATTTTATTTTACAATTTTTCGTTTTTTTTTTTGTAATATTGCAATTTTTGGCTTCCTCAATTATCCGATTTTCCGAATTCTTTCATTTTCAATTGGGTTTTGCACTTTTTTGAATTTTAAGTTTCTCAGTTTTTAATATTTCATTTTTTCGTTTCCTTATTATTGTTGACGTCCAATTTTGATTTTTCAAATTTTTCATTATAGATTTTTCGTTTATTCATTTTTGATTTTTCAATTTTACAATTTTGCAATTTTTGCATTTTTTTGATTCGAAAAATTGAAAACTCAAAAAACTGAAACAAAACAAAATGCCAAAGTGAAAGAAGAAAATCGAAAAATTCTAAATCGAAGAACTGAAGAAACGAATACTGAAAATTAAAAATCGTCAAAATTGTAAAGTTGAAAAACTGTAAAGTTAAGTATCGAGAAATGGAAAAAATAAAAATCGAAAAATTGAAAAAGTCAAAAAATTTAAAACTTGTAATCGTTATTAGATACATATTTAAAATTAAAACTAGAAATAAAAAATTGAAAAATCGAAAAATTAAAAAATCTGAAAGTTCAAAAATTGAAAAATTGCAAATCGAAAAATCCAAGCACTGAAGGATTTCACATTGAAAAAAATAAAAATTAAAAAATCAGAACAGTGAAAAACTGAAAATTAAAAAAACAAAGAAAATAAAAGACCGAAACGAAAAATTGTAAAACGAAAAATTGAAAAATCGAGAACTCGTAAAACTGCAAATCTGAAAATCGAAACATCCAAAAGTTCCCAAAAGAAAAATCTGAACACTTAAAAATTTAAAAACGAAAACTCGAAGACGTGGATAATGCAAAATTAAAGAAAAAAGAATGAAAAATTGAAAAATTGCAAACCGAAGAACTGAAGAAACCAAAAATTGGAACACTAAAAAATTATTTAAAAATCGAGAAACTTAAAAATTTAAATCGAAAATTTGGAAAACCCATAAACGTAATTATAATTGAAAAATTTAAAAAGTGAATAATTTTAAAAATTATAATTATTATTGGATATATATTTAAAATGAAAACCAGAAAATTGAAGAATCGAAATATTAAAAAGTCTGAAAAAAATTGAAAAATCCAAAAATTGAAGAAGTTCACATCGAAAAAAGAAAAAAGCAGAATACTGAAAAATTTACATCTTAATGTTGCTTAAATTTTATAAAATATAAGAAACTCTTGTGGTTTATGAATCCGTGTTGAAAAATCAAAATTGTATGACAATATTTTCTAGTTTAACATTGAAACTGCAAAATCAAAAATCAAAAAATCAGGAATATGTCATGTTTGATATTTTTACAAAAAATTGTAACGGGACAAATGTATAGTCAAACTCTTCTCAATGAAATTAAATTTAATGTACCCAGATTAGGCAGCCGCATCCAGATAAGTTTTTCATATAACATTCCAAACACACTTCACCACTTCAATAGTCCTCTAATAGCTTGTATTCGTTTGTATAATTATATTATTAGCAGAGATCAAAATATTGACATTTTCTTTAATAATTTTTGTAACGTTGGGATTAGGAATAAGATACTGAAAATTGTAGTTGCTGTGTTGTAATGTCGTTGTATCCACTAGAGACATAATTGTCTGCTGGAAATAAATTTACTTATTATTATTATTACTATTATTATTATTAAAAATCGAATCGTAAGTAATTTGTTAATAAAATTTGCGTTTTTATCCTAGATGTTCAGATTTTTGGGAAAAAAAATCAAAATTGTATAACATTTTACAACTTAACTTGATTTTTTCGATTTTCGATATTTCGACTTTTTCAATTTTGGATCATTGGATTTTCGATTTCGGGAGTTTCCTTTAGCTATTTTTGGAATTTTCGATGTTTACTTTTTGCTTTTCCAGTTCTCCGATTTTTGGATTTTTTGAGCTCCGATTTTTCGAATTTTGTTTTTCAATTTTTGATTCTGCGAATTTTTGATCCATTAAATTTTCAATTTTTCTACTTTAGATTTTTTAATTTTGATTACTCGATTTTTCGGTTCGCAAAATGAAGATTTCGAGTTTACAATTTTTTCATTTTTCGAATTTTTGATTTTTCAGTTTATCGATTTTCGATTTTTATTTTTGTTTTTTCCAACATTTGAATAATCGAATTTTCAATTTGATCGATATTTGACTTTTCAGATTGTTTCCTACTCGATTTCTCGATTTTTCAAGTTTTCAGTACTTCAATTTTTCGAATTTTCGATTTTCGATTTCTCCAATTTTAATTTTTCCATTATTAGACTTGTTATTTTAGACTAGTCGATATTTTTGTGTTTCAATTTAACGGCATTTGAATTTAATCATTTTTTTTAATTTATAAATTTTCAATTTTTCCAGTTTTCAGGTTTTCGATTTTTCAATTTTTTAATTTCGATTTTTGGATTTTAGAATTTCCGATTTTTCGACCTTCGATATTTCGTTTTTTCTATATTTCGGATTTTCGATTTTTCGTTATTCGAATTTGCCTTGTTTCCTTCCACATTTCTTGATTTTTCAATTTTGGCATTCTTCGATTATTGAAAGAAAAATTAATGAATCGAAAATTTTGAAAACCCAGCTGTGAAAACGAAAAATTATAGAATCGTTAAAATTGTGAAGTTGAAAAACTGTAACGTTAAAAGATTGAAAAATTGAAAAATTTTAAAAATGAAAAATTTTAAAAGCTATAGTTATTATTGGATATATATTTAAAATTAAAACTAGAAAATTGAAGAATGGAATTATTAAAAAGTCTAAATGTTGAAAAATCCAATAATTGAAAAGAGAAAAATTAGAAAATCAGAATACTGAAAAATCGAAAAACTGAAAAATTAAAAATAAAAATTCGAAAAACTCAAATCAAAATCGAAAAATTAAAACATCCAAAAGTTGGAAAATTGGAAAACTGAAGAAACAAAAAAAATGAAAAATTGAAAAATTGAAAAAATAAAGAAATATAGCATATTTCAAGAAAAAAAAAACGTTAGGAATGTAAAAATTAGGAAATTAAAAAAAAATAAAAAATTGAAAAACTGAGAAATCGAAAAATCAAAAACCTGAAAAATCGAAACAGTCGAAAATCAAGAAATCGGAAAATCAAAATATCGATTAATTGAAAAATCGGAAAATTGAGAGTTTATAAAACTCAAAAATTGAAAAATCGAAATATTGAAAAATCGTAAAATTGAAGAAAAGAAAATTTGAAAAAACGTAAAACTGAAACATCGGAAAATTGAGAAATCGAAACATTGAAAATCGATAAATTGAAAAATTGAGAAATGGCAAAATCCAAAAATTGAATAATAAATAAACTGAAAAATTCCAAAACTAAAATTTCGAAAAATTGAGAATTCGAAAGTTGGAATACCAAGAAATAGAAAAAGCGAAAAATCGAAAAATCTTAAATTGAAGAATGGAATTATTAAAAAGTCTAAATGTTGAAAAATCCAATAATTGAAGAATTTCACATTGAAAAGAGAAAAATTAGAAAATCAGAATACTGAAAAATCGAAAAACTGAAATCAAAATCTAAAAATTAAAAGATCCAAAAGTTGGAAAATTGGAAAACTGAAAATTTAGAAATGAAAGCTAGCATAGATCCATATCGTAAAACTGAAGAAAAAAAATGAAAAATTGAAAAATTGAAATCGAAAAATTAAAAAAATGGAAATTGAAAATACCAAAAATTATCATTATCATCGGAAGAAAATTTGAAATATCGAAAAATTGTAAAAATAAAGAAAATAAAAAATCAATACCAAAAATTGCAAATAGAATATTTGAAGAAAAAAAATGTTAAGAATGTAAAAACTGGAAAATTAAAAACGGAAAACTTTAAATCGAAAAATTGCAAAATCTAAAACTGGAAAATTAAAAACGGAAAACTTTAAATCGAAAAATTGCAAAATCTAAAAC